CCCATCCTGGTGCTGTCACTACCCTGTTCTGAGCCAGTCTGATCTGTCTGATCCCTTTGGATCACTTGAAAGCGTCTCAGCCACCTCGCAGGTCCTGTCTGTTGGTTTTGTTCATGGGGGGAGCATCATCTCTGCCAGAACGTGCTAATTCAGCAGCCTGGATCATCCCTTGGCACCTGGGCTTTGTCCCCCAAAGGCATTGTGCGAGGGATGCACAGGGGAGACATCTGGTGCCCCAGATGTGCAGTTAAGGCCAGGAGGAGCACATCTGCAGCATTATGCACGTAGATGACAACATCATTGCAGTGCAACCCATCAAGCCTAGGCTGAAACAGCTCCAGTCTAAATGGGAGCCCTGCAAGAAGCCAGTTCCCAGTTAGGGTCTGTCAGGAAGAGCTTTGCAAAGGGACCGGGTGCATCTTCACACAGCTCAAACCCAGGCTCCTACCTTTCCTGGTCAGCAAAGATCCCTCCAGGCTTCTCATTAGGGAAGGGAGTTCCTCTTCTGGCTTCCTTCAGTCCCACGAACCTACCCCCTGCTCCTACACGGTGATGGAGTTACTGCTGTTCCTTCTGCCCACCCTCAGCTTCAGGAGGGTTGTTGTCCATTGTCAGGCAGCGATGTTCCCCCAGAGGTGCCTGCCTTTTGCTTTCCATTTGTGTCATTCCTCAATGGGGAACGCCATCTGGGGGTGCTGCAGAGCTCACCTTGCTGTCGGCAGGAGCTCTGGGGTGGAAAATGTGGGATCTGGGTGAACGGATGGCTGAAGCGAAGATGAAGCACACTTTATGCGCATCCCTTGCCCCTGGTGTGCCCACAGCCCTCTCCGATGGCCAGCTCAAGGTACTGGACACAAGGAGCCTCTGCAGCCTCCAGTGTGCCTCTCCAGGGCTTGTGTTTCCCACTGCTCCACTGAAATCCCACGGCCTTGCAGAGCACCAGATCCCATTCTGGGCATCATGGGCCCTAAAAGGGAGAATGGAAGTGACAAACAGGCAGAGCAGCTCAAAAAGAGGGATCCTTTGAGAGATTTAACCTAGAACATGATTTTGGTGGCTTTTGGGGACACTTGGACACGGCAGCTTCACAGTGGTACAGAGGCAGGGACCATGGGATGTGGCTGTGCTGTGTTTTGGGGTGCCTGGGACAGGAATTGCTCCTGCTCCTGCTGTGGCTGCTGATGGCGAAGCAGCAGAAGCTCTCAGAGCTACTCCACATGGGAAGTGCCAGTCCAAAGCCTGGTGATATTCCACGTGAGATGAGCCAACAGAACAGGGGCAGGTTACGTTTGGGAAAAGAGGGATTTGTAGGCAATTACAGGTCCATTAACTGGAGTGCAATTAAAGGTGAGCTTCTGGAATGGGATTTGAGAGAGTATTCAAAGACATGGTGCTGGGAAGCAGAAGTCTTTAACGCGGATCATGCCAAGCTGGATCAGTATCTTCCTTGTGTGTGACCTGAAACAACAGGGCCTCATGAACCTGGATTCAAGACCAGCACTTGATGGGGATGATTGTTTTAGGTGGAGACGGGAAAGAGGCAGCCAAACAGAAGGAGGACACTTGGATCCTTCCCAAGGGGGAGAGCTAAGGCCTGAAGTTGGTACCAATCCCTTTGGAAGGTGGGAGAAAAAAGGCTGAAGAAGAGTTGGGCAGGAACATGGGGAGCTGCTGGAGCCTGGAGGGAGCTCAGCAAAGGGAGGTCAATGAAGCAGAAAGAGCAGTGAGGATTTCTGGCAGAGGTGATAAAGGAGGAGCACATCAGGCCAGATGTGTTCGGATGTGTTGTGTGCTGCTCAGACCATAACACAAAGGTCTGAGATCGCCTTCGGTGTGGTGCGTCCAGGCCAGCTCACCTCCGTGCAAGGCGGTGCTGTAGGAACCTTATAAGAACAGATGCAAAGGAATTGGCTTCTCCTGCTGAAAGAGACTGATCCAGAATGATTCCTCTGGAGGAATCCCCCTGAGAGGCAAATACTATGGTGGGAGAAGAACCAGGAACATAGTGCTGGTATCACGGTCAATGGAAATGCATTAATGCTGGAAACCAGAGGGTGATGCTTCCAGGTGGAGCACGGTTTATGGAAGAGACTATGGAAAACCTGAAAAGAGAAGGGAAGGGACATGAGCTGTTTGCCTATCACGCTTGTTTCCCTCAGGAGAGACAAGAGGAGACAGGGAGGAAGGTGGGAGAACAGAGGGGGTGAGAAAGAGGCTTCCCCCGGGCTCCCCCTTTGCTTGTGTGGGACTTCCACTGTTGCCCTGCCAAAGGCCGCCCTGTTCTTCCCCGCTCCCTCAGGAACAGTTATTCCTGAAGATTTCCTGCCCACCGGCAGCCTTTGAACGGGCACAGAACGTGGAGCAAAGCGGGTTAACGGGGCGGGGTGGTGGGAGGCGGCTGTGCCCTGGGGCGCAGGGACAGGTCCGTGCGCCGGGGATGCTCTGCAGCAGCCTGACGCGCAGGGCAGCGGAGCCCCCAGAAGCGGCCTGGCCGCTCCTCCCGTGCCAAGCCGACAGGGACCTGCCCTGGGTCCCCGCAGCCATCAGCTGAAGCCACAGCCCGAAGCTCTCCTTGCTCCCAGGATGGAGGAGGAAGGGGCCCAGATTCCCCCCACCCCGCGCTTTGCCTTTGGGAAAGCCTCTTGCAATGGTGCAGTGATCCCAGCAGTAACCTCACACTTCACAGGGCTGCTAATGGGAACCAGATGGCAGCGAGGGGCCTCTCTCCCTCTGCAGTCGCGCTGCTTTCCTGTGCCGGAAACCCATCGGCTTTCCGAGGGGCCGTGGGGCTGGAGCCGTGCGACTGAGAGCTCCTGGGATGAACATCCCCAAACTGCCCCGGTGGGTGCTGAGCGGGAGCTGCGCCTGCTCTCACACAGACAAGCTCCAGGCCCCAAGTCCTGGCTCAGAATCGTCACAGACAGAAGGGGGTGGAGGGGACCATCTGAAGATCATCTCGTTCCAACCTCCTTCCGCTGCAGCAAGCCCAGCTCCCTTTGGACAAAGGGGTATTTCGGTCCACACAAGCCATCAGATGCTCCCAGGAGGGGCAGGAAGAACCAAGGGGATCTCACCTCGTCCTGAGCCATATCCTGGGAATTGCCCAGGAGAGGACACTCGGTCCTGCTCTTCCCAGGCTGTGTCGATGGCCAAGAGCCTTAGGGAATAGAGGCTTGGAGAAGTCGGATGTAGCAGTTACGGTGCCAGCCTCCACTGTGGAGACCTGGACGTGGCTTTCCTGCTTTGCCCCAGGTGCTCTCTGCACCCCAGCACTTGTGAAGGCTCCGTGCCACCACCGGGGCCCCGTGTCCTTAAGCAAAGCCTGGGCCACTGGGGCTCCTGTGCTGATGGGGACTGCCTTGGGCTCAGATCCCACCCTGAGCGCACGAATGCCCCCTTGGAAGAGCACTGAGAGCCTCCTGGTGTGGTTTCTAACTTGTTGTTTCCCCTTATCGCTTCAGCACAGCCTTCCCCCTTGAGATTTCTGCTCCTTCCTCGTGCCCTTGGGCAGGAAGGACATTCAGCAACTACTCACAAGCAGCTACACGGAGGGGACCGCTCGCTTGAACCGAAGGCTGGGAGAGCACAGCGGGTACGTGCGCAGGGGGGTGTTAAGAGAAGGGAGAGCGGGAGGATGGGGCTGGGTGGGGAACGTCAAGCCATGGGGTGGGATGGCGTGGAAGGGAACAGGGTTTGGGGAAGAGAAGCAAAGGGATGAAGAGGTGGAAGGAGCCTGTGTGTGTGGATGGGGAAGGGCTGATGGAGAGAGTGGGGAAACTGAGGGGCTGGGAGAGGGGAGGAAGATGAGGTGCAAGGGAAGAGGAGGGAAGCTGGGGGTGGAGAAGTGCTTGTGGCAAAGGCAGGGGCGAAGGGGGAGGGTTCTGCACCCACATCAGAGCGTGTGAGGCAGGACACAAGCTCTCTGGGTGCCCCAAGCTCCCCTTGGGGTCTGCGTTGGGCTCTAGGGACCAGCCAGAGCCCGGAGGCACGAGGCCCATGGGATGGGGGCTCTGCTCCCGGGCCAGCTCTGCCCTGGGCCCCAGCACCCTCCTGTGCCTGCCACCCCCTGCAGCACACAGGAAACAACAACGCGACCGCAGGGTGAGGGAGGTTGTGCTGAGCTGAGCGCTCGGGGGGGCGGATGGGGGGTGGGATGAGGGGTGTGCAGCCCCCAGCACGTCCCCACCATTCCTTCACCTTCCCCTTGCTCTGCGCCTCCCTCAGCATCGTTTGCTCAACCCCACAGCTCTTGCACGAGCAAACCGGGGCTCTTCAAGCCTCATCTTTTCTGGGTGTTTTGAAGGCGAGGGCAATGGGGGAACCCCCCTGCGGCGCCTCTCCAAGCAGTTACTACCAAAAGGGGTTACTTGCGATGCTGCTTGGGGTTTTGTTTGCCTTTTCTCTTTCCTGTGCTGTGTTAACGCTGCTCCAGGACCAATCCCCTTCCACATGTGAGCAGAAGCCAGCACATCCCCTTCTACTCGTGTTTCCATCACCGTCGTCCTGCCCAGTATCTTCGTATGGGCCTAGAGGAGGGTGATGGTTCTAAACTAAAAGAGGGAGGTTCAGGCTGGACGTGAGGAAGAAACGTTTTCACAGTGAGGGTGGTAACAGCACAGGTTGCCCTAGGAGGTAGTGGAGACGTCCAAGGCTGGGCTGGACGTGGCTCTGATCCAGTTAAAGATGTCCCTGCTCACTGCAGGACGGGATGAGCTTTGAAGGTCCCTTCCATCCCAAACCATTCTATGGCTGCAGGACTATGGGTACGGAGCCCGGTGCCCACATCACCTTCCAGCTTCCTATGACCTGCACCTCCTGCCCACATCCAGCCTCGTGTGCCTCCAGCTCCTGGCTCCCTCCAGCAACGCAAGAGGCTGCAGGGAGCCCATGGAGGAAGCACTGAGCACATCACCATTGCACACCGGCCCTCGGGGTGATGAAACCAGCCCTGCTCCTCTTGCCGTTTCCTTTCCAGGTGTTGCAAGAGGCTCGTCTCGGGCGTCTCCGCAGGGCACATCGCCCCCGGACACCAAGCTCAGGATTAAACAGACGGAGGAGGGCAAGGAACCATGTTCCAGGCCACGGGACCCCCCAGCTCCCCCCCAGCTCATGTACGTAGGGGTTTGCATGGGGTTTGGCCCGCGGGGGTGCTGTGGATAGAAGCTCTATTCCGGATGTTTTAGGGTGATCAAAGGCACAGCCGCTGCTTCTCGCCCCCCCAGGACGGGGGCCAGGAATGTTCCAGCAGAAGGTGCTGTTTGCTGAGCCCATCCCCTTGCTCCTCACCCTGCTCCCTCGTTCTCTGTTTGTTTGTGTTTCCATGGCTTTCCAAGAGCACAATTGGGAGCACGGGAGGCTGCTCGGGCTTGGGGATGGAAACCAGACGGGCTCCAGAACGCGTCCTGCTGGGACAGGATACGGCCCTTTCCCCGCGGGAGCACACAGCAGATATTAAGCAGATAGCGCTGCCTGCTCGGAGCCAGGAGGCTGCCCAGAAGTGATGAGCAGCAGTGGATCGCTGGAGCCTTGGGAACGGATGTGTCCAGCTCCAACGAGGCAGCGCTTTCCTTAGCTCGGGAAGCGGCGCATGAAACCCCAACCCCAGGAGAGCACCTGCGGCTGCCTTCCCAGTGCCAAGGGATGCAACCGGTTTTACACGGCCCGAGCGTCCCCGCTGCCCGTGTCCCCCTTGTTGACTTTGGCTCATCCTTCCTTGAGGGAAGGAGAGGGAAACCAGCATCCCTGACCTCAGTCAATGGGAGCAGCTGGGAAACGTCTGAGGAGGCAGCGCAGGGAAGTGAGAGCTTCCTGCGCCTCCACACCAGCGATTCCCAAAATACAGAGGAGAAACAGCGGGGAAGGACGAAGCAGGAGGGAAAATCAGCCTGGGGCCAAGCAGAGCGAGAGGAAGGAGCAGGAGGCAGCGGGGCGATGCTCTGGGATGGCCTCGGGAACAAACAGCACAGAGTGGTTCCTGGGCGGTCCTTGCTGGAAGTGGGTTTGCCTCTTTGCTCCTGTTTGACAGAAGGGAGCATCACCACCAGCACAAAGGCAGCTTCAATGCGTGCCACGGTTGGCAGGGACCCAGTGAGTGCACAAACAGCTTGGGAGGGTGCAGGAGTGTGGGGAAAGTGAAGGGCAGGGGCAGGGGTGATTTGGGATGAGCTGCTGCAGATGGGAGAATGTGCACTGAGGGCATCTCAGCCCTTGGAGCTCTGCCCTACTGCTCCTCCATCCATGCCCCCCATCCCTCCTGCATCCACCATGGACATGGATGGATGCAAGGGCCTGCAGGGACTCCAGGGGCTTTTCCATCTCAGCCGTGGTGCAGGATGTCCCGTGGTGATGGGCTGATAACGGGGCTCAGAAACAACACAGCTGCTGAGGGGAACCAGCACAAGAGCTCCCTGAGAGCGAGGGGCGGCCCAGCTGGGCGTGAGGACGGCATGGCCTTGGCAACTGAGTTCAGAGACAGCCACCATGCAGGGACAGCCAGGTCCTGCCTGTCCCCATCCTCTGCTGCTCCTCCAGCACAGCTCAGCGCCAGGCTTCTCAGTGCTGGCTTTCATCCTGATTTCTCTTCTCCTTCCCTTGGCAGGAGGCAAAGAACAGCTCAGGAGGCAGCACCGTGCAGCGCTCCAAGGTACCTGCGATTACTGCACCCTCCACTGCAAGGAGGGAAGGACCAAACCCCATCCTATCATTCAGCAGTGGTGCAGCACAGGGAGGGTGATGGGAGATGGGGATGCCTCACACTGGTAGAATGGTTTGGGATGGAAGGGACCTTCAGTTCATTCGGTTCCACCCCCTGCCACAGGCAGGGACACCTTCCACTAGAGCAGCTTGCTCCAAGCCCCTGTGTCCAACCTGGCCTTGAACACTGACAGGGATGGGGCAGCCACAGCTTCTCTGGGCACCCTGTGCCAGCGCCTCAGCACCCTCACAGGGAAGAGCTTCTGCCTAAGAGCTCATCTCAGTCTCCCCTCTGGCAGGTTAAAGCCATTCCCCTTGGCCTGTCCCTACATCCCTTGTCCCAAGCCCCTCTCCAGGTTTCCTGCAGCCCCTTCAGGCACTGGAGCTGCTCTAAGGTCTCCCCTTCAGGAGCCTTCCCTTGTCCACGCTGAACAAGCCCAATACCTCACCCAATGGCAGTGTGGATATCAAGGAAGAGGCTGTGGGGGAAGCCAGGCACAGGATACCCCAAATTCCTTCCTCATCCTCTCTCCCTTCGCTCTCCCCTCCGCAGTCCTTCAGCCTGAAGGCACAAGTGAAGGAGATGTGCACTGCCTGCCAGAAAACCGTGTACCCCATGGAGCGGCTCGTGGCCGATAAGTTCGTCTTCCACAACGCCTGCTTCTGCTGCAAGCACTGCCACACCAAGCTCAGGTGAGCCTGAACGGGATGCGGCCATGGTGCTTGCTGTTGGAGGGGTGGATGGATGGCAATGGGGTACCCATGGATGGGGGAGGCCTCTCCAAACAGTCCACCCATCACGTTCATGTGATCCCCAACACATTCATCACAGCAAAAACCAGGGCTTATGTGCCCAACTGGTCCCAAGTCCCAGCTGGCCCATAGGATGGTTTGTGTTGGAAGGGACCTTAAAGCTCATCCAGTTCCAACCTCCTGGCACAGGCAGGGACACCTTCCACCACACCAGGCTGATCCCAGCCCTACATCCCCTGTCCATAGCCCCTCTCCAGGTTTCTTGCAGCCCCCTTAGGCACTGGAGCTGCTCTAAGGTCTCCCCAGTCCCAGCTAACCCTGCTCTCCTTCCCCAGCCTGGGCAGCTACGCGGCGCTCCACGGCGAATTCTACTGCAAGCCCCACTTCCAGCAGCTCTTCAAGAGTAAAGGCAACTACGACGAGGGCTTCGGGCGCAAGCAGCACAAGGAGCTGTGGGTGCACAAGGAGGTGGAGAGTGGGACCAAGTCGGCGTGAGCGGGGCCTGCTCAGCCCTCCCTGGAGCACCGGAACGGTGCCGAGCCGGGCGCTAACTGAGCTGATGTAAAGCAAAGGGGACCCAAGGGTGGTGAGGGTGGGAGGCAGCACAGCCCTCTTGGAGGATGTATAGAGGGGTCCTATAGGCCACAGGGGCAGAGGTGACCAGGGGACAGCCTCCAAGCCCCAACTCCGGAGACCAGAGCGGATGCCCAGCCCTGCACAGGCATTTCAGGTTTGCCACCATGGATAAAGAGATGATCTTGGAGGGGCCTTAACCCATCCTCTAAGTCAGAGCAGAGCTCCCAGCTCCTGCCACACCAATCCTGCCTTGCTGGGGCTCTGGCTAAGGAGGGTCCTTGGTTTACATCAGCTCAGTTCAGCTGGGAATGTTCAGCCTTAAGGATGTTGCCCTGCGACTGTTTCTCTCTCCGTCCTTTTTTATCTCCTGCGCCAGGCGCTCTCTTATTTTTGTAATACAAGGTTTCTGAGCCTGCTCTGCCTTGTCCTGTGTTCCGGGGGCTGGGGAGCTGGGAACAGTGCTGCGGGCTGCCTCTTACTGCCCCGGGACTGGGGACAGAGCCTCTGTCCATGCGGGATCAACAGGTATTCCTGGGTACGTGTGTGCAGTGTGAGGATGGAGGCAGAGCGGTCCTTTGGGGATGAAGTCTGGTTTCAACCTGCACAGCAGCTTCCACATGGAGCCCAGACCACTCCCAAAGGGAATTCTCCATCCCATGAACTAGATCCACCCCTCTGCCCTGCACACATTTTGTGGCTCTCTCCCAATATCAATATCAATGGGCCCAGCCTCTGCAAGCAGACACTGCCTCCATTCCCTCTGGGCTGACTGGTGCAAGATGAGCTCTGGTCTGGATGAAGCCCGTCCCTCTGGACCGTCTCCAACAGGTCTGTATTTACCGCCTTCCTCCACACGATGTGTAAGCCTTGCCTGGGGGAGCAGGCATTCAAGGAACCCCTCATCTTTCACATGCTACAAGAATCGGGCTTTTCAGAGCCCCCAGAGCCTTCGGCATCACAGCAAGAGCCTCTATTCCTTCACCAGCCGATAACATCAGCTCCCACTGATGGAGAGAATCCAGAACCAGCCACAAAACCAGGAGCAAAGAGAGAACCAGATGGATATGGATGGTCCAGAGGAGCCCAGGAGGAACTGAGGGTACACAGAGACATTCTTAACCCAGGCCACAAGTCCCCTGGGGCTCAGAGACGCATTGGGTGACCCCAGGAGCCCCATGTCCCTCATGGTGGATAAATTTCATCTCCTTTAAGAGGCCAGGACCGTGAGCCCAGCAGGGACCGCACACACAGAGCCTGGCAAGGCTCCCTGAGCTCCAGCCTCACCAAGAGCTTTGGCTGTCCCCGTGGTGCAGGTGCTGCTCCTCACATCAAGGCGCAGCCGACACGGTGACAGACGCTGCTTCCTGCCCATCACCGCATCACTGCTGGGATGAACCAGGACCCGCTGCTCGGTGGTGCTGGGCGCGTTGTGGCCTCTTCCTGCCGAAGGTTGCCCTAGAAAACGAAAGCAGGCTCCTGGGTTTCGCTTCCTGTTCCTTGCTGGCCTCACTTCCCCATCCCTCGCCTCGCCTGCCTGCTGCTCTTGCCTGCAGAGCGGGGCCCCCAGGTCCAGGGCGGGTTGAACTGCACCAGGGCACTTTGGGGGGGGACAAAACCTTCTTTAAGCAAGAACAACAAGGGTCTGGTTCAGTCCTTTCCTCCCCAGCATTCGGAACTGTGTCTAGAGACAGTAGCACTCTAGTACTACTAGTGCTAGTAGTGCACTAGTACATCTCTAGGGCTGCCAGAGCTAGTAGTGCATTAGTACATCCCTAGAGCTGCTAGAGCTGGTAGTACATTACAACATCCCTACAGCTGCCAGAGCTAGTAGTGCATTAGTACATTCCTAGAGCTGCTAGAGCTAGTAGTGCATTAGCACATCCCTAGAGCTGCTAGAGCTAGTAGTGCATTAGTACATCTGTAGAGCTGCTAGAGCTAGTAGTACAACATCCCTAGAGCTGCTAGAGCTAGTAGTGCATTAGTACATCTGTAGAGCTGCTAGAGCTAGTAGTACATTAGTACATCCCTAGAGCTGCTAGAGCTAGTAGTGCATTAGCACATCTGTAGAGCTGCTAGAGCTAGTAGTACACTAGTACATCCATAGTACTACTAGTGCTAGTAGTACCCTAGTACATCTTAGAGCTGCTAGAACTAGTAGTACACTAGTACATCCCTAGAGCTGCTAGAGCTAGTAGTGCATTAGCACATCTGTAGAGCTGCTAGAGCTAGTAGTACACTAGTACATCCATAGTACTACTAGTGCTAGTAGTACACTAGTACATCTTAGAGCTGCTAGAACTAGTAGTGCATTAGCACTTCTCTAGAGCTGCTAGAACTAGTAGTGCACTAGTACATCTCTAGAGCTGCTAGAACTAGTAGTACAATAGTACATCTCTAGAGCTGCTAGAACTAGTAGTACATTAGTACATCTCTAGAGCTGCTAGAACTAGTAGTGCACTAGTACATCTCTAGTACTACTAGTGTTAGTAGTACACTAGTACATCTCTAGAGCTACTAGAACTAGTAGTGCACTAGTACATCTCTAGAGCTATTAGAACTAGTAGTGCACTAGTACAGCTCTAGAGCTACTAGAACTAGTAGTGCACTAGTACATCTCTAGAGCTACTAGTAGTAGTAGTACATTACTACATCTCTAGAGCTGCCAGAACTAGTAGTGCACTAGTACATCTCTAGAGCTGCTAGAACTACTAGTAGTAGTACATTAGTACATCTCTAGAGCTACCAGAAGCAGCAGTACACCATTCTCTACCTATCCCGTTCCCACAGGGGCACAGCCATCTCTCCCTGACGTGGCAGCAGTGGAAGGAGGATGTGTGTGAGCACAGGGTTTGAGATCCTCAGCCTGCTCTATTGGCTTCTGATTCTGTGGCGACCTGAGCCAGGCACCACCGCTGAGGGGAGGGAAGAGAATCTGGTGAGCAGCAGATTCACACAGGGCCAGAGGCGTTCAGTACAGCTACACCTCACAGGGGCTGCTGCACACAAAGGAGCCAACCCCTGCTGCCATGATTCACACGCCAGGCTCTGCACACAGCCTCAAACGGCTCCCAATGGGAGGTTTCTGTAAGACAGATTAAAACAGAATAAAAGAAAGGCCAAAGCATTGTCTCTATGTCCCAAACGTGTAGCTAAATCCAGCTGATTTATGATGAGAGCTGGTTTCATGCCCCTGGGACTGGAACCCTCCTTTCTGAATGCCTCCCACCCGTTGCAACCCCCCTGTCTCTGAGCAGGCACAGTCACTGCAACACTCACCTAGAGCACTGGAGCTGCTCTCAGGTCTCCCCTTCAGGAGCCTTCTCTTCTCCAGGCTGCCCCAGCCCAGCTCTCTCAGCCTGGCTCCAGAGCAGAGCTGCTCCAGCCCTCACAGCAGCTCCGTGGCCTCCTCTGGCCTCACTCCAATAGCTCCACGTCCCTGTTGTGTCTGGGGTGGAACTGGATGGTCTTTAAGGTCCCTTCCAATCCAACCCCTTCTATGATTCTGTGTCTTAAGCTTCCTTTCAAGTCATGAGCTGCTCCTTGCTGGGGCTTCTCTGTGCTGCTCCAGCACAGCAAAGCAGTGCAGCAGCTCCACAGGGACATATCCTCAGCAGAGAAGCAGGAGGCAAAGCAGAGGATGCTACAGCTCTCTGGGCTCCAGGGCGCCGCAGCGAGAGCTCAAGAGCAGCAGCTTTAATAGCAGCACAAGGGCTGTTCCCTTAACGTGAAGCACAGAAAATGGCTCACAGCTGCCTGCACCTCCAACGAGCAGACCTGGTTTTACCGCTGAAGAGACAACACAACTGATGAGCAATGAACGACCACCACAACCCTTTGCATTCCCATACAAGCATGAGGCTTCTGTTACCAACCTGCCTTTGAGCTCAGGAAAGGACATTTCCCAGAGCCTGGAAACTCAAGCCAGCAGATTCATGGAATAACTGGAAAACAATAAATCAGTAAGAATCCATCTACATCCATACCGTGCAGATGTCCAGTTCTGGCCAAGATACAGAGCACCAGGCAGAGATCAACAGCAGAACAAGTGGCAGGACAGCTCACCGTGCCAGCATTTCCTGGATATAATGCAATACACCCACACCCAGGCACTACCAAATCCAGAAGACACCGTTCCTAGTTTAGACTTCACTCTCCTCGAGCCACAGCAGTGTAGTGTTAGCCAACCCCTATAGAGACTTGAAACTATTTGCTTCAGAAGTGGCTGTACAGAGGAAATGGACCTCGTGTCACCTTGCCCTGGGCCACACTATGCACAGAACACGCATCCCCAGCAATCAGGAAAGGCACAAGAGGTTTTTAGCTGCATTTTTCTGTGTGTTGGTCAGTGCTTTGTGGCTGATCAACCTTCAACCCAAGCCTCCAGATGTTCTTCTCTCCCAGCCACCACCTATAGCCAGGTATGGTAAAGATTCAAGCAAGGAATACACACTTGTGGAAAGCAGAGTCACTATAGAGCTATCGACTTTAGAGGGGTGTGAGTAGGAGGGGAGACCAGGGGCAAACATGCCATGCTGCAAGCCTAAGGTGTGAACCTTGTGTTCATAACGCAAATGTTAAGCACTGAACATACAGAGCGGAAAGGAGAATGAAGGCACCAGCTTTGGGAAGCACCTCCTCAAGTGAAGGCAACTTCCAAGTTCCTCCTTCAGCAAAGGCAGGGTTGTCAGGTTCTAACACTCACAGAGGGTGGCAGGAAGCAGCAGGAGGTGGTTATTTCTGCTTCCACAAGCCACTTGTGTTCTAGGACAAGTTCACTTGTCTGGTTCTCATCTGCTCTGGACCAGCCCACAAGCACGACGCATCTGCTCACTTCATGTGCAGGGAGGGGGCTCTATTGCATCAGGTTGTTAACCCATTTCTTCTCATTTGAGCACATTTTACACTTACAAACACGTCAGTGTTTAATCAACATAGCAACGAGCTCTACCATGGCCTGGGAAAGGCGAGCAGAGGGAAGGCTGTGATTAGGACCCATGGGACAGCATCTCGAGGGACCACGGTGGCATTCAAACCACTGCTGAAGTGACAGCAAGGCTAGGACCTGCACAAGGGAAAAATGAGCATTTCAGCAAGTGAGGTAGATGAATTTAAAGCAGCACTATTTCAGTCCTTTCCTAAGATAGTGCTGCTGGAAAAAAGAAATGCAGCCTGAAAATACTTGGAAATGTGGTTACCTCTTGCCAGTCTGGGACAGCAGAGCTCATCCTGTCCCACATCTTTGGTACACTCAGTGCAAGACCATCCACTTCTCCCTTTCTGGAAGGGAGCTCATGATATGATATGACAGGACAAGGGGGAATGGCTTTAGCGTGCCAGAGAGGA